GTTAGTACCTTAACTCTTATAAAGTGTCAAAAATCAAATCTGGTGGAGTTAATCATTTAACTCTTACTAACACTAATTCAGTGTTAGATCTTAATATTAACTCTCACAGAGTACTTCTTTAACTTATTAAGTTATTTGTAATTAATATTAAATAGGTATTTTATTGTTTGAACTTTTAAAAATTCTTTGAAAAATAAACATTTAATAAAGAGGCAATGATTTTCTCAAATGCATTTATTTCAAAACGTGCACTATAATTACAAAACATATTACAACATGGAATAATGTGCATGTTTCACATGTCGCTTTCCTTCACATATTGCTTTTTAAAAGGTCTAACATATCAGCTGTGCAATACAACATGCAGTATGCTTAATACATTTTTCTTCAATACAATATGCATGAAATTGTTCAAAGTACAAGGTGGAGAAAGTAAAGCCTAAAAACTGCAGTGCATGCAGTTCATGTAATATTTGATAGAGTGCATTTCCTTTTAACAGGTAGATTACTGGATATAGACCAACCTGATATTCAGATCCATCATTTCTTATCCAGTTTCTGTTTCTGTTGATAAGACGCAGTTCCTCTCTGCACTCCACCAGAGAGATGTCCACTCACTAACAGGTTGTCTTCAGGTTGTTGGGCTGTTCGTGACGTTTGGCCGGAGATACCAACATGCTCCTCTACTGCATCGGACCGTCTTCAGCCTATGAGTACTACAAACAGTGTCGGACTCTGGATCATAAACAAAAACCATAACAATGAGGACTGGAACGAATGAATACATTGTTACTACAACTCTAACAACAAGCCTCCATTATAGAAATGTGGAGTTTCAGAGATATTAACACGAAAATAATCATTTTTGGAGCTTGAATCTTCGATGAATCCTTGGAAGGATCGGGAGATGGAGGTTAGGCAGGAGATTCATCCTCAACCAGACTGGTTCTAATATATACAAAGAGGCAATAAAAGGATTAAAACATGCTGCAAAACGTATATAAGACAACAGCGGGAATAATGCTTTCAACATAAAAAAGATCTGTTCAAGTTAGCCAAGAATTTGACTGACTCTTCACCGGCTCGATTTTTTTCCAACACTTGTACTCCGCTAACATTCAGCATGCTAAGCTAAAAATGCTAACACCGAGCCGTGTGGCGAACGTGACGTCTATCATACAGGTTGAGCTCAACTCAAAATAATAGTTATAAACCATCTCAGGAAAAAAGAAAAAGAAATAACTTACCAAGTGCAGTAAATAACTCAGACAGGTGGAAAGTAAATAGTCCTGAAATGACTTGGCTTCTTCACTTCGCTTCGGTGGGAATCTGTGATTCTGGGGCGGAGGTATCAGATAGCCACATGCTGTCAGGATAGCATACATGCAGTTAGTACGCATGCCCGCGCATGCGCATTAAGAAGTCCGACCGTCAGTGTAGTTGTCAGTATACGCAACAAGTTATGACGAAAATAAGTAATTAAATTGTTTATAATATGACATAACATGATAACTAGATAGATATACATGCGTTGTCATGGTTTCAAAGTGTATTTAAAGCAGTCTAGCTGCAGCTGCAGTCAACTACAACACACGCCCATGTAAAACTCATTAACCTCCTAACTTAACCGCTAAGTTAGGATGCCATACAGCTGTTAATAACAAAGTGTATGATGTTCTACGTCATGATTCTATGTTGCTGATTAAATAAAATCATGTGGTAATGACAGCGTATGCATGTCTGAGCTAAGCGTAAGACTATTTGACAATGTATGCTGATCTGACAGAACAGAGGCAGTGAATTAACTCCTTCAGTGTTAGAGCCGCTGGTGGAGTTCAGAGTTAAGAAGTCAAGAGTTATTGATTCTATTTTAACACCTCTAGATTTAATAGGGAAACACTTTGTTTTAACACTGGATTTTAACTACTAATAATATACACCCCAGAGTTACATAAACAGAATGTGACTCTATTAGAGTAAAATTAAGTCTGCTTTTGCACAAAGTCTACTAACACCAAAACATTTGACACTTTTGAATTTGCTGTGAGGCCAGCTAAAAACACATTTCCAACTGATGGCATCACTGCTTGTTCTTCATGTCTGTATATGGCTAACATATTTTACTTCCTTATAACATAATATTTCCCTTTCGAGAAAAGAGAGTCATGTGGTAACACAAAGAATACTGAAAGAAGGAGCAGATATGAAACAGTGACTTTCTGCTACTTGAGCAGTGGACATTTTCTGAATCTAAAATGTGTGTCTGACTCACCACTCTGCCAACATCTACAGCCCTTTACTAATTTAAGAAACAAGGAGGGTCTTGATGGAAATAACACTTGTTTTTTTTTATCCCAAGTTGGCTTGCCTGCTCTAACATTTTCCAGAATCCTGCCACTTTTCTCTTTCTTTTTTTTTTAATTAAAACTCCTGTTCAACATTCATAACCTAATGAATAATCTTTTAACTCATTTTGTTTGCTCCCCAGATTGAGCACAAGAGGATCTACGGGGAATTATGGAAGTCTAAATACGGCCCTCTGATTGTGGTGAACGTGGCCAGCGCTGACCTCATAGAGCAGGTTCTGAGGCAGGAAGGCCGACACCCCATCCGGACCGACATGCACCACTGGAGGGGCTACAGGGAGCTCAGGAACAAGGCCCACGGACCCCTAACAGAGTGAGTCCAGCATCCCCCAACCCTCAGCCCAACAGCCAACAAACTCTTCAACGCCTCCACAAAGAAATGCAGTGCCTGTAAAAAGTATTCACCGTTTTATTTTATTTTATTTGTGATTAAAAATGCTTTCATGGAAGAAATCCGTTTTCACTTTGACTTTAAAAGTATTTTTTTGTAACAGCTGTAGTTTTGTTAAACAAGATTGCAATAAAAGACTGAAACATTTAAAAACATTTTAAAAGTGCTGTACAATTAACGTGATTGTAGCAGCAGGTGCATAAAATCACATTTTTATAAAACAAATCAAAATATGTTTGCTTTTTATCCATAAACAACAAAGCAGACAAACCAAAACAAGATTTAATACCATATTGATCAGATTAGGAGTGCGCTGACGAAAGACAATTACTCCAATATTTAAAAGTCTGGCTTTAAAAAACAAAACAAAACTCAATCCAACTTTTTTTCTGTCTTTGCTCATACTGTGAACACATTTTGTCTAATAAAACAGCAAGATTATGTCTAGCTTTGCAAAAATCTCTTACCAAAAATCAATTTTATTAAAAAACAAACAAACAAACAAACAAACAAACAAACGAGAGATCGTTCCGATCAAGGATGGCCACATGTGCGAATCTTCGACAA